AGACTTGTTTCTTATATGAATGAAATTTGGCCTCTGCTCTGCATTGGTTCCATGTCAGAGCTTGCCAATCGCATGCTCCCATCTCTCAGAGATGGGATCTAGTCACTGTCTAGTTTGGGCAAATTTCTGGAGGGGCTTTCTTTGCCCTTCTGTGCTCACAACACCAAGACTTTTTGCAGCCTTGCTCTTCAAGCATTTGAGCAGAAAGGCAATCTGCATCTGTTGCTGACTATCTGTATGTGCTTAGTCTGAAGGTTTTCTTCTTTCTTTCTGAGTAAAAAATTCCCTGTTTCTTAGGCAAATACTGTATTTTTTTTTTATAGAGGTGCACTTACAATTTTACAATTAACCTTGCTTAGCATAGGGCTTCCTGACAATACTTTTAGGTGGAGAATTGGAGTAACATTTGTCTAGGACAAAAAAAGGCGGTATGTTTTGTACAGAACTGAACATTTTTAATTGAATCAAGATAGTTGTCAGAAGCTAAAGTTTTGCTGATTTTATTACCAGAACTGTGATTAAATCAGTTTACTTTATATTCGAAGTATGTAACATTCTGTAATTTTGAATTGTCAAAAGCAGTTTTAAAAGAAGCCATGTTTTATGGTTGCTAGGAGAAACCAGACAAGGCATCCCACGTTTATTTACTCCTTCAGATTGTTTTGTTAAATGCCTCCCCCATGTAAAGTCCCATGGCATGATGGGAAAACAGCAGCAAACAAATCAGACGTGGTCCCCCTGCCTTGAGGAGCTCACTAAACAACTTTTTTTTTTTTTAAATTACAAGTATGTAAAGTTCTGCTAAGGAGAACTAACCTGCCAAGGGGTAAGCAGTTGAGTGGGGCAGGGAGGGATGAGTATGTCAGATAGCTCAGGGCAAAGTTAGGGAGATGATCTTCTAAGAAACAACAAAAAACTAATTGGTTGTTACGTGAACTATGGGGAGATTTGCACCTGGTGTCCACAGCTCTGCCTATACTTGAAGTGTAGGTATGAATCTATAAGCAGTTAGCACAGTAATTTGCACAAACTATGTACTCAATATTTATGACCTGAATAAATGGGGCTTCATCAACATGTTACAGGATACACCTCAGATTTTGAAAAGCTGGCAAAAGGAGTTGAGGATTACTAATGTAAGAATTAGGAGGAAAGATATATTTAGGCAGTTCCTTGGCATTTTTTTTTTAATATATATTAGGAGATCGTGCTTCAGAATGATCTGCTTCTAAAGGATCTGTTATTTACACTTGGCTATTGTGATTATTCAAAAATGAACCGAGGGAACACTTTGGGAGAAAGGATTGGAGGAGGCGGGCATCTGGAAATTTAAACAGAAGCCAAAAGCAAAACAAATAAAACCAAACTCAAAGCAAAACACACTCAAATCCTCATCATTCAACATGTACTCAGTGTACATTTATCAAGGTTAGCATACTAACCTGTGGGTGTCAGTGAACACAAAGCAGCAAAAGCCCTAAATTTGGATTTCAGTGGTGAAGAGAATCGATAAACAAGTAAATATATAAGGAAACAAGGTAATTCAGGGAGTGTTAAATGCTGAGACTTCGATGATTATATTATAAAGTGGAGGCATGAAATATGTATGCCCCTCGTTCCTTCCCTGCACCCTCAGAGAAAACCCCTAGTAATTTGGCTGGGGGTAGGGTGCTTGATGTACTTTTTTGTGTGTGTGGGGTCCCCCCACCCAGGGGCAGCAAAAAGACATGGCTTGAGTGTGATATATATCATCTTCTTTTAAAAGTTCCATAAATTAGCAGCATTATCAACAATAGCCAAACTATGGAAAGAGCCCAAATGTCCATCAACTGATGAATGGATAAAGAAAATATGGTAATTATATATACTACAACATATTACTCAGCCATCAAAAAGAATGAAATCTGGCCATTTGCAACAACATGGATGGAGCTAGAGTGTATTACGGTAAGTGAATAATTCAGAGAAAGACAAATACCATATGATCTCACTCATGTGGAATTTAAGAAAGAACACAGATGAACATATGGCAAGAGGGAAAATAAAAAAAGGAGAGAGGGAAACAAGCCATAAGTGACTCTTATTTATAGAGAACAAACTGAGGGTTCATGGAGGGAGGTGGGTGGGGGATGGGCTAGACAGGTAATGGGTATTAAGGAGGGCACTTGCTATCATGAGCACTGGGTGTTGTATGTAAGTGATGAATCACTGAATTCTACTCCTGAAACCATAATTGCACTGTATGTTAACTAACAAAATTTGAAAAAAAGTTCTAGAAATGATCTTTAAGCCAACTCCAGAATACGTGTAATCTAAATAAAATAAATCACGTGCTTTGCAAGCAACCAGAATAAATCCCCAGACTACTCCTCCAATTCTAGATCCTTCTATGTAAATATGTAGCTATCATTCACACACAGAAATATAAGCACACATATGTTTTGAGAAACAAAAATGAGACTGCAACCTGCACATTCTTCTACAACTTTCCTTTTTCACCTACCAGCCATAATTATAGTAAGAACATATTTGCAAGTCAGTCCATATAAATCTGTATCATACTAAATTTGTGGCTGTGCCGCAGACTTCTCATCCTTCCATGTTCGATTGTTTTCAATTGTCTGACATCCAAATAATGCCCCAATGAATATTCTTATACATCAGTATATCATGCATATTGTGTTATATCTGTGAGACAAATTCTTGGAAGTTAGACTGCCAGCTTATGGGATGTAAAAGCTTAAAGTGCTGATAGGCATGGCTAAATCAACCCTTTGCCATACCACTTTATTAGTAATTTTTAAAATAATTGTCAATATTAAAGGAAAACATAAACACACACAAATAATTGTTATTTAAATTTGCATTTCCTTGGTTATTAGTGAGGTTTAGATTCTTTTATCAGTTTTTTTTTTAATTGGTTGTATTTCCTTTGTGAATTGCAGGTGTATATTCTTTGCTCATTTTTCTATTGAGCGGTCTTTCTCTTATTATTAGAAACTCTTTTTAAGAAATCTTTATACAGTAGAGATATTAATGCCTTGCTTGCTAAATATTATAAATATGTTCTCCCAAAGTCTCAAATTTTACTTATATAGACAAATGTATTAACCTATTCATTTACACCAGTGTTTCTCAAAATGTGGTTGGTGGAATACCTACAAGAGAATGTGGAGTACTTGTTAAAAATGGAAATTCTAGGGCCCAAGCACTGTATGAGAAGCTTTGGGTAAGACACAGGATTTTGCGTGTCTTATTACATCTCCAAGTGGTATATTCATTGCTTCATGTTCTTATTTTTGTATCTTGCATGATTATTAAAAAAAAGCATATGCTTTTGAATATATTTAGATTTCAATCCATCTTAAATTTACTTTTGCTCCTGTTAGGATGCAAAATTTTTAAATTAACTGCATTTTATTTTTAATCTCTTTAATTACAGCAACAGTATTTAAAAAACCATTTTTTCCACTAAAGCATCATCTTTGTCATATATGGTGGAGTTTTTCCACATTCCTGTAGTTTTTAAAAGAAATATCCCTTTTTTTTCCCTAAAATATCATATATTTATAAAGAATTCACAGCATGTAGAAAAAACACTAAGGAGAAGTTTTTTAAAAATCCAACCTGTAGTAGGTTGACTAGTGTCCCCCAAAATTCATGTCCACCTTGGACAGGTGATCTTATTTGGAAATAGGGCCTTTGCAGATATAATTAAGTTAAGATGAGGTCATGTTGGATTAGGTTGGGTCCTAATTCAGTAACTAGTGTCTTTATAAGAGGACAGACACATAGTCGATGCCATGTGATGAAACTGACAGAGACTGGAGGCTAAGGGATGCCAAGGATTGCCAGCAACCACCGGAAGTTGAGAAGCATGGAACAGACTCTCCCCAAGAGCCCTTAGAAGAACCAAGCTTGCCAACATTTTGATTTAGGACTTCTGGACCCCATAAGCGACTAAGTTACTCTGTTTTATGCCACCCGTTCGTGGTGCTCTAGGAAACCAATGTATCAACTAATCAGAAATAACTTATCTTTAACATTAGACGGGTATCATCCCACGTGTGTGTATACATATTAGACTGACAAAAATATTTACACTGTCATGGGGATAATGCTCTACAATCTATATTATTAAAAGTTTTTTTCTTTTACTTGAAGGTATCTGAAGAAAAATAATAATAGATCTATCCTCCTATTCCATTGATTATTTTCCTATTGCTGTGTCAGTATCTTGGTGTTCAGTGTATTTTAATTTTTTGTAGGGCAAATGCTTACTACTCTTTTTTAAAGGGTTTCCTGATAATTCACAACAATGTAATCTTCTGTATAAAATCTAAAATTAGTTCTAACACATTCCCAAGAGAACTTGGGACTCCGATGGAAATTGCGCTGATTTTGTGACTTAACTTGGAAAGAACTGGCATAATTTTGATACTGACTTGTTATCCAAAGAGATGGCACCTATTTTTCACTTACTCAGGTCTTGTTTCTGCCTTTCAGCAAAGGTTGAGGGATTTCATCCTGAGGATCTTGTAACTTGCTAATGTTCATTCCTAAACTTTATACCTCTTGTGTAAGAGGTCGTGGAGGAAATCTTTTTTATTATTTCATTTGTAAGAGGCTATTATTTGTTCAAAAGGGAAGTTTTTAATTTTCTTCTTACCTCTCTCGAGTTAAGCCTTTTCCTGAATGTTTTAAAATTGAGGCACTCCGACTCTCAAGGTTTTCTACCACCTGCGCAGAGTACGTCTCCTCCCTGAAGGAGTCTGGGTTGTGCCCTGCAGGAACCGAGACCGCCTGGCTGGGACCTAGCGGGTCTTAGCGGCCCGCCCGCAGACGCACGCCCCTGCCCTGCCACCGGCCAGCCGCGTGACCTGGACAACCAACTTCTGCACCTGCTGGACCTCAGCGTCCCCACCCCTAAAACGCGAATCGAGCACCAGTTAATAAACGCAAAGCACTGAGAACAACTCCCGCCACATGGGGTCCTGTACCAAGCACTGGCTTCCCCTTATCAAAGCCGACGTCACCTCCTGGAAGCCTCACAACCACTTCATAAAGCGCGGTTATCTTCACCGAACAAATGAGGAAGCGAAGCTCAGAGACCCAAGTCATCCGCTCAGGGTCACTCGGATACAATTTGGGGCTGCCTGAGACAAATCCGGCTCCTAGAAAATAATGCAATCAGTCAGTTCCTGCTGAGGCACGATTTCATTCTCACCAAAACGTGACGAGTTCATTCTCCCGGCGTTGGCATCTTACCGGAAAGCAGAAGTGCACTAAAGCTAAGGTGGGGACTCCGGCTCCGGAGCGTCAGGCGGGCGCGGGGCTGGCGGAAGGAGCCGAGTGCGCTCGGAAGCACTCGCTTCGCCTTCGGCAACCATCGTCAGGGGGCGGGGCTCGCGTAGCGGCGCGTTCCGCGCGGGGCAGTGTGGGAAGGGCGGCCGGTGCAGCCGCGGCTGCCATCTTTGCAACTCCTGGCGTTGCGGCCTTGTCGTTGGAGGCGGCCTTCGTGGCGGCCGTCGACCTAAGAGAGCGGTATAAAGTCAGCTGGCTGACAGCTTTCCTTCCCCCGGCCTCGACAGCCCGGCCAGCCGGGGTCCGGAGGCGGAAGCGAGGGCAGTGGGACGCGTGCGGGGCCCGAGGCCAGCGGCTAGTCACAGCGTCGCCCGGAAGGATGGGCCGGTCTCGGAGCCGGAGCTCGTCCCGCTCCAAACACACCAAGAGCAGCAAACACAATAAGAAGCGGAGCCGGTCGCGGTCGCGGTCCCGGGACAAGGAGCGCGTGCGGAAGCGCTCCAAATCCCGGGAGAGTAAACGGAACCGGCGGCGGGAGTCGCGGTCCCGCTCGCGCTCCACCAACACCGCCGTGTCCCGGCGCGAGCGGGACCGGGAGCGCGCCTCGTCCCCGCCCGACCGCATCGACATCTTCGGGCGCACGGTGAGCAAGCGCAGCAGCCTGGACGAGAAGCAGAAGCGAGAGGAGGAGGAGAAGAAAGCGGAGTTCGAGCGGCAACGAAAAATGTGAGCGCCCGCGGGGGGAGGGGCGGGGAGGCTGGTGGGGGTGGGGGCTGGCGGGGCTGGGTGGGCCGGGTGGAGAGTGAGGGGCTGGAGGGGCGTGGGAGCGGGTAGAGGGGTCGCAGGAGCCCGCCCGAGAGGCTGCAGCCTGGCCGAGTTGGAGAGCCTGGGCCAGTACAGACCCACGAGTTGGCTGGGAAGGAAAACAGTGGGGCTTGCGCAGGAAAGGCTCGGAGCGGAGAAAGCGATTTTGGCGCGAGAGAGGAGCTGAGTGCCGGAAGTAGGGGGTGGAGTTGGGAGTAAGGTGGGAGAGCTGCTGGGGCCAGTGAGGGCGTGGGATAAGCGAGCCTGAAGCTACGGACGGGGAACGTTTGCAGGCCGGCTGGTGAAGAGTCGAAAAGGAATTAACCCTTGGGAACAAATTGCAGCTGGCCAGAGCATTCTTGTATGGAAGCTTCAGATTGGGACAGGGCTCCCTCGGGAATAAGACGCTGTAGGTGGTCCAACAGTACACCCCCAAATGCATTTTCTGTTTGTGCATTTCTTTTGTTAAAGATGTGGTTGCGTTTCTTTTTTCGGGCCTGCTCGGTTTTTGTTATTTTGTGAGCTGTAAAAACAAAATGCACACGCTTTTAAGCATACAGTACAATGAGTTTTGACACTTGAGTTCACCTGCTTAACCACCATCACAATCAAAACTTATTCCATCTTTATACTTCTTATTTATATTCTTTTGTAGCAAACTTAAGTGCAATCCTGTTATTCGTTTTCCTTTTTAGTATACTTTTGTTTAGAAGACACTTGAATATTTGCTTTTATTTTCGCATTGCTCACATATAGGACTTAGATTTGGGGAAAATCAGAGTCACAGTAAGGTTCTCAACTTGAAATATTGTTAGGGTGAAAGTATTTCTGAAAGAGTCACCTCTCAGGTATTTTTAGATCCAAGAGTAGGTGCAAATAATTCCAAACTGATCATCTTTTGGTTTTAAAATGTAGGGTTTTGTTTTGGTTTAAGACCATGGTACTGTGATGCTCTGGGTATTCATTTCCCAAAGTTAGTTTGCAAACTCTCCCTGTTTAACCAGCTGTCTTCCTCAATTCTTCAGTTCATGTTTAGAAAGTGCACATGAGGCAGTAAAGTTAACTGAATTTAGGATCTTTCTGGGACAAATACATGTGTGCTGAACTGTCTAGGGATTTTAAATTTTTTTGTGTTTGGGTTTGTATTATGTAGATTTTCCAGCAGAGTGTGTTTCTGAGAAGCAAAGTTATTAAGACGTACAGGACTAGAACACTGACAATATTACAGAGGAAGCAGTACCAGAAGAGCTATTTTGTTGCATACCTTTATTTTTCCTTTATGTAGAAATGTTGAGTTTATATATATATATATGTGTATATATATATGTATATACCACACACAAATAAATACATACACACACCAAATACAAGTAATTGTTTCGCAACAAACCTTGATTATATAGAATCCAGGTTTTTTGGTCTGGAACAAGATCCTTCACTGTAAAAATGCAGCTCTCAAATGTCAGCAGATGAACATTTGAAAGATTACTGAAGACATCTCTGAGATAATTTTCCCATTTGAAAACAGATGTCCAAAGAGAAATGATTTGCCATTCACTAGAAAGCTAAGACTTGTAGGAAAAATGAAAGAAACCTCGGTATGCAAAGAATAATTAGAAGTATTTAGCAAGCTACACATGAATAGCAGAAACAAAATCCAGGGATTACATGAGAAAATTGGACAGCTGTATAGTTCCAAGTTGACAGAAGCATCAAACTACCATTAGCATTTATGAAGGGAGGAGGGGGCAGAGCTAGCAGCCACCTATACACTGAATTC